ATCTATATAACTTGACTTGTCTGACTCAGCTAATCAATTATCTATATAACTTGAGTTATCTGACTAAGCTAATCAAATATCTACATAACTTGAGTTATCTGACTCAGCTAATCAATTATCTATATAACTTGAGTTGTCTGACTCAGCTAATCAAATATCTACATAACTTGAGTTATCTGACTCAGCTAATCAATTATCTATATAACTTGAGTTGTCTGACTCAGCTAATCAATTATCTATATAACTTGAGTTATCTGACTCAGCTAATCAAATATCTACATAACTTGAGTTATCTGACTCAGCTAATCAATTATCTATATAACTTGAGTTGTCTGACTCAGCTAATCAATTATCTATATAACTTGAGTTGTCTGACTCAGCTAATCAAAGTGTGTTATCTTATAATGCTAGAATATTCACGCCATTCAGGAAACTACGCCCTAGCATGGCAGACAATTCATGTCCTAGCATGGCAGATATTTTGTGCCCAAGCATGACAGACAATTCGTGTCCTAGCATGGTAGACAATTTGTGTCCTAGCATGGCAGACAATTTGTGTCCTAGCGTGGCAGACAATTCGTGTCCTAGCGTGGGAGACAATTCGTGTCCTAGCATGGCAGACAATTCATGTCCTAGTATGGCAGACATTTCGTATCCTAGCATGGCAGACATTTCGTATCCTAGCATGGCAGACATTTCGTGTCCTAGCATGGCAGACATTTCGTATCCTAGCATGGCAGACATTTCGTATCCTAGCATGGCAGACAATTCGTGTCCCAGCATGGCAGACAATTCGTGTCCCAGCATGGCAGACAATTCGTGTCCTAGCATGGCAGACAATTCGTGTCCTAGCATGGCAGACATTTCGTGTCCTAGCATGGCAGACATTTCGTATCCTAGCATGGCAGACAATTCCATGTCCTAGCATGACAGACAATTCGTGTCCTAGTGTCAGAGGCCAGTTCGGCTTTGGGAAGGATGATAGTGAATCATCACGTTTGAACGAGTTGACCTTTAGTACAACTCAGTATGAGAGCGGACAGCTTGACCACGCAATAAACTGGGTCCAGTTAACTGGCCAGGTCTAGTTCACTCAGGTTACACGGATTACTACGTGTCAAGCCGTGAACTCAGGTCGGAGATACAAAAGGCTTTGTCCCAGCTGGTTGAAGGGGAGTCGTGTGCTGGGACAGGACGGGAGGACGGAAATATTTTGACTAGGTAATGTTAGGTTTAGTGACGGTTAGTTGTAATAGGAAATGTGTATTTTGTATCGATGATAGGCTGTGTTTCTATTTAATGTTTCGACTAGATAGTATAGAGTTAATGTTCTTTGTATAGTAGACATTCCATGCAGTATTTGTTTGAGCAGTTAATCAAGGTGTGACGCGCATTGAAATGGCGTTTACACTGCCCAGACACACTTAAGACAATACTCCCGCTGAGTACAAACATAATCTTTAATGAACAATGAACAACATGACGTATAACACTTCAACTTTGCTAAGCAGTTCCCATCCGAAACCCCCTTGGCGATGACAGCTTTACACTCACTAATCAACCCAGGCCAGTTCCCATGGATCTATCAGGAACACGACTCTTAGCTAACAGTTTCTTAGTGCTAATTAATCCGCCGTCTATTACCAAACGGGATTCAGCGATACGAGTAATGTGTATGGCCTAAGCGTGACCGGGCAGTGCTATCGCCATTACATCACCTTGATTAACTGCTCAAACAAATCCTGCATGGAATGTCTACTACACAAAGAACCTTAACTCTATACTATCTAGTCGAAACATTAAATAGAAACACAGCCTATCATCAATACAAAATACAAATACCCTATTACAACTAACCGTCACTAAACCTAACGTTACCTAGTCAAAATGTTTCCGTCTTCTCTCGTCCTGTCCCAGCACACGACTCCCCTTCAACGAGCTCGGACAAAGCCTTTTGTATCTCCGACCTGAGTTCACGGCTTGACACGTAGTAATCCATGTAACCTGAGTGAACTAGGGTCTAATATAATGTAACAGCAAAACCTAGGCACACTAACTAAAATAACAAGAATGTAAGTAAACAGCAACTTTATTTACTTGATGACATAAAACAATAATCAATTCCCCACCCTATTCCCACAGAGAGCACTTGAGTTCGGTACCTAACATGCCACAGCAATTCTCATTGTCGAACATTTTGATCTCAAAGCGTGAGCTGGGTGCTCCGGGTATATGGTATTTACCTACACCGGAGCCTACTTTGAGGCTCAACATAACATTTCACACACATATCCACGACAAGACTAACCTGTTCTTATTGCAGGAAGATAACTATAAGACCACTATGGAATATTTTTTTTTATTTTGGAACTATTTAAAATCAAAATCTTTTTTCAGTACTTTTTGGCAAAATAAAATACTCAAAATTTTAAAACTGTAAATGGTGGTCCAAAGGACGTTGTGTAGAAAAGCTCGCTCTCATACGAAATACGCCTGGCCAAATCAGAGGGAGATAAAACCAAGAGGAAACACCAAGTAAGAAAAGGAAAGAAATGCACAGCTCACATTAGGGTGGAGGACGAGCGGTCTGACTCGGAAGGAAGCACTAAGCCCAGAGATGGCGCAAATAACAGATTTAGTCACGAAAGTGACGCAAATAACCCAGACCACAAATATAGGCGGAGACTGTTAGCAGCCTCGGCTAGCTAGCAGCAGTCTGAAAGTGGTTGACCTTTTAATATTTTTCTTAAAAGGAATCGGAAAAACGTCAGGACAGACAGCAGAAACCCCACACATACCCTCTCCAGGCAATCTCTTAGTCCTTCTCAGGACTGACAGACTCCCCTCCTGAACGTGCAGACATGATGCAGAAGCAAAAAATCAAACTTAGGCAAAAATGATCACCACAAAGAACAAACTAAAGTCAGATAGCAAAGAAACCGTTCTCAATAAAGCAGGCCTTCGGGCTGCTGAAAGAGGACAAAGCTTGACATTTTTGTTTTCTTTTTTGGAACTGGAATTGGTAATGATCCTGTAACTATAACTAAAGCCATACACGTTGCATGAAAGACAGCGTCAGAGTTCACTGAACATCCTAAAAGTGATTACACGCCAGGTGATCGTATGATACAACAGGGTAAGAAGCCTATGGCACCACAGATTATTAAGGTTGGTAACATACAGATTATCTGCCCAGGTACTGAAAACATGAACCAAGAAAGAGGTAACCTTGTGACAGAAAGTACATCTGATCAGGTGGCAACAAGCATATTACATACGATGAGAAGGGAAAGTAAAACTCCCAAACAGGAATTTGCATATGCAACTGGTGTGGTAAATGAAAGCAGGAAAGCAAAAGAGTTGAGTCCTGACCCCATCTGCCTTGTCATGTATCAATTTGCCACCCAGTGGTGCAGATCAAGCCAGTCTGTCTGCCTGTTACACCAGCATGGCCTGGGAAAAAAGATCCAAAGTATGTTCACTACCCGTGACCTTTCCATTGAAGCTTGCCACTCTGCTCAAAGCATCCCTGTCTTCACCTTTCTTAGCATGCTTTTAGAGTCTGTTACAATTACAACATGTGTATGCATCTTGTTTTCCACCGGAGAGCTGAAGTTACCGCCTCCACCTCCTATTCTCATGTTAGATGTTGTAATGTTGTATGCTAAGCTGTCTTGCATCAAAGATTTTCCATTGGCTTTCACTACAAACCCCCTGGCACTTCTCTTTCCTCTCAACACCGAACCATCTGTATAGATAATCAGATCACCTGCATGTGAATTGTCGTAAATCAAATGTTGGACTTCCACCTCCTAGCCGTGGTTTTCAACACAGCGCTGGTCACTCTCCTCAGCACCGGCCCACTTACAGTACGTGATCATAACCTTACACAGAGTACATATCCAACTGGGAAACACCTTTATATTCAACTGGGAACACACAGTACCTTGCCAACTGGGAACACAGAGGACCTATCCAACTGGGGACACCACATATCCAACTGGGGGACACACAGTCTATCGAAACACACATGACATATCCAACTGTACATATCCAACTGGGGAGCCATCCAGGACAATTTCTCCACACCGTACATTTCAGCCTATACATATCCTGGGACACACAGTACATATCCAACTGGGGACACACAGGCAGCCAACTGGGCTTCAGTACCTTCAAACAACATGGGGGATAGTACATATCCAACTGGGGACCACAGTACATATCCAACTGTGGACACACAGTACATATCCAACTATGGACACACAGGACATATCCAACTGGGGACACACAGTACATATCCAACTTGGACACACAGTACATATCCAACTTTGGACACACAGTACATATCCAACTGGGGACACACAGGACATATCCAACTGGGGACACACAGTACATATCCAACTGGGGACACACAGTACATATCCAAGTGGGACACACAGTACATATCCAAGTGGGGACACACAGTACATATCCAACAGGGGACACACAGTACATATCCAGCTGGGGTCACACAGGACATATCCAACTGCGGACACAAGGAAGAGCAGGGGTCACACAGTACATGTCTGGACATTATCCAACTGCGGACACAAGGAAGAGCAGGCCATCATGTCTTAAAGTTACCGAATGTACATGCTGGGGTCCCTGCAACAACAACAACAGTACCACTGACTCCACACCCAGCAAACAACAGATGACATGTATGGAGAACTATCACCCCAGGCTCAAACACAGCACACCCCAACAATGAATTCATGTACACTGTATGCTACATCATGTCTATATCTTTCTTTTCATAAAATCAATTCCTGACTGTTTGTCTCATTCGTGTAAACATGCAGATCTGGTGACATTTATAAATAAAACTTCCAAATGCTGTTCTACGAACAAGACAGTATAGATTAGATCTTGTCTGAGATGTGGACCTGCCAAGTAACTGACAACAAGCCAGCTGATGTTTGTCTTGTGTCTGAGATGTGGGCCTGCCAAGTAACCAGCTAATGTTTGTCTTGTTCCTGCAGAAACTGAAAGGCAGAAGAGAAGTCTTTGCTGCCAAGGCCATGCTGACACATCAGTCTGTAGATGTGATGAGCCAGTGAGCCTAGGGGTGTGGCACTTTTGGTAGCTATTGCTGCATTCTGGGCCAGACCTAAATCCTAGAGGAGAAACAGACACACTGCTGAAAACCTGGTGCAATATACACATCACATGATTAGCCCAGTCCCTACACCTGGTGTAACAAACACACATCACATGATTACCCCAGTCCCTACACCTGGTGTAACACACAAATCACATGATTACCCCAGTCCCTACACCTGGTGTAACACACACACATCACATGATTACCCGTCCTTACACCTGGTGTAACATACACATCACAAGACTGCCCCAGTCCTTACACCTGGTGTAACATACACATCACATGACTGCCCCAGTCCCTACACCTGGTGTAACATACACATCACATGACTGCCCCAGTCCTTACACCTGGTGTAACATACACATCACATGACTGCCCCAGTTCCTACACCTGGTGTAACATACACAAATCACATGATTACCCCAGTCCCTACACCTGGTATAACATACACATCACATGACTGCCCCAGTCCCTACACCTGGTGTAACATACAAATCACATGACTACCCCAGTCCCTACACCTGGTGTAACATACACAAATCACATGATTACCCCAGTCCCTACACCTGGTATAACATACACATCACATGACTGCCCCAGTCCCTACACCTGGTGTAACATACAAATCACATGACTACCCCAGTCCCTACACCTGGTGTAACATACACAAATCACATGATTACCCCAGTCCCTACACCTGGTATAACATACACACATCACACAACTACCCCTGTCCCTACACCTGGTGTAACAGACACACATCACACGACTACCCCTGTCCCTACACCTGGTGTAACATACACACATCACACGACTACCCCTGTCCCTACACCTGGTGTAACATACACACATCACATGACTACCCCTGTCCCTACACCTGGTGTAACACACACACATCACATGACTACCCCTGTCCCTACACTTGGTGTAACACACACACATCACATGACTACCCCTATCCCTACGCCTAGTGTAACATACACACATCATACGACTACCCCTGTCCCTACACCTGGTGTAACATACACACATCACATGACTGCCCCAGTCCCTACACCTGGTGTAACACACACACATCACATGACTACCCCTATCCCTACACCTAGTGTAACATACACACATCACATGACCACCCCTGTCCCTACACATGGTGTAACACACAAATCACATGACTACCCCTGTCCCTACACCTGGTGTAACACATACATTACACAACTGCCCCAGTCCCTACACCTGGTGTTACATACACATCACATGACTACCCCAGTCCCTAAACCTGGTGTAACACACACTTTACATGATTACCTCAATCCTTACACCTGGTGTAACACATACATTACACAACTGCCCCAGTCCCTACACCTGGTGTAACATTAATACCGCATGACTACCCCAGTCCTTACACCTGGTGTTACATACACATCACATGACTACCCAAGTCCCTAAACCTGGTGTAACACACACATCACATGACTACCCCAGTCCCTAAACCTGGTGTAACACACACTTTACATGACTACCTCAGTCCTTACACCTGGTGTAACACACACATCACATGACTACCCCAGTCCCTAAACCTGGTGTAACACACAAATCACATGACTACCCCAGTCCCTACACCTGGTGTAATATTCACATTACATGACTACCCTAGTCCCTGTTTGTTCGTTTGTCCATCACAAGTGATGAGCACCACTCTTTCGTTCATCCGTCATGAAACTGCAGTTGAACGTTTATGAGTCTGGGTGTGACTTATAAGTCCAATACGTGCCCGGAAGAGTCTAGGACAATGAGGACAGTGCTCAGTGTCTGCAGACAAAGGGTCTGTTTGAGAAAAAGTGACTAGCGCAATGAATTCGATTAAAGTGAGGAAGAGTTGCACAATTTTGTCGACCTCTCTCTCTCTCGCCTGTATCCATCTGAATCCAGTGGCAGGACATGTGGAGATGGCTGGAGATGAAGTCAGTGAATGACCAGGGTGCTTTACATGCCTCACAGTGCTCTTTACCCTCCACAGTGCGTTGCTGGTACCTGCCATCAGGTCTGTTGAACCAAGTATTGGCTTCCTCCCCACATTCAGCCAAGCCCAGTCCTTGCATTCTAGGATAGGCAAATCCTAACAACGAAGGCTATTAGACCATTCGGCTACCATCACCTGGTTTAGCCGGCCTGTCAAGGCTGTTGCCCTGACATGACTACTCCAGTCCCTACACCTGGTGTAAAACACACATCTCATGACTTGCTCCAGTCTCTGCACCTGGTGTAACATACACATCACATGACTACCCCAGTCTCTACCTCTGGTGTAACATATACATTACATGACTACCACAGTCTCTACCCCTGGTGTAACATATACATTACATGACTACCCCAGTCTCTACCCCTGGTGTAACATACACATTACATGACTACCCCAGTCTCTACCCCTGGTGTAACATATACATTACATGACTACCCCAGTCTCTACCCCTGGTGTAACATATACATTACATGACTACCCCAGTCTCTACCCCTGGTGTAACATATACATTACATGACTACCCCAGTCTCTACCCCTGGTGTAACATACACATCACATGACTACCCCAGTCTCTACCCCTGGTGTAACATATACATTACATGACTACCCCAGTCTCTACCCCTGGTGTAACATATACATTACATGACTGCCCCAGTCTCTACCTCTGGTGTAACATATACATTACATGACTACCACAGTCTCTACCCCTGGTGTAACATATACATTACATGACTACCACAGTCTCTACCCCTGGTGTAACATATACATTACATGACTACCCCAGTCTCTACCCCTGGTGTAACATATACATTACATGACTACCCCAGTCTCTACCCCTGGTGTAACATATACATTACATGACTACCCCAGTCTCTACCCCTGGTGTAACATATACATTACATGAATACCCCAGTCTCTACCCCTGGTGTAACATATACATTACATGAATACCCCAGTCTCTACCCCTGGTGTAACATATACATTACATGACTACCCCAGTCTCTACCCCTGGTGTAACATATACATTACATGAATACCCCAGTCTCTACCCCTGGTGTAACATATACATTACATGACTACCCCAGTCTCTACTCTACCCCTGGTGTATACATATACATTACATGACTACCCCAGTCTCTACCTCTGGTGTAACATATACATTACATGACTACCCCCCAGTCTCTACCCCTGGTGTAACATATACATTACATGAATACCCCAGTCTCTACCCCTGGTGTAACATATACATTACATGACTACCCCAGTCTCTACACCTTGGTGTAACATATACATTACATGAATACCCAGTCTCTACCCCCTGGTGTAACATACATACATTACATGACTACCCAGTCTCCTACCCCTGGTGTAACATATACATTACATGACTACCCCAGTCTCTACCTCTGGTGTAACATATACATTACATGACTACCCCAGTCTCTACCCCTGGTGTAACATATACATTACATGACTACCCCAGTCTCTACCCCTGGTGTAACATATACATTACATGAATACCCCAGTCTCTACCCCTGGTGTAACATATACATTACATGACTACCCCAGTCTCTACCCCTGGTGTAACATATACATTACATGACTACCCCAGTCTCTACCTCTGGTGTAACATATACATTACATGACTACTCCAGGCCCTACATCTGGTGCTGGGATCGATATTTTCTACACATCTGTAATTCACCATAGAAGATGTCCTTAGGGACTCAACTATCGTCCATTCTCCAGGGGTGACTCAGCCACTTGAGCCTTTCGAGACTGAACAATGAGAAAACTATTGTGATACCTGCTCTTTCCAATACCTCAGTGTCTGTGATCTTGTTTTGTGAAGTATTCTTCTTAGGCTTTGCATGTGAGTTATTTAGACATTTCTCCTCGTGCGAATAAGTGAACTAAATTTCACTGCCATAAAGTGCTGAGAACACAAGCCTAATAGACAAATATTTTTGTTTTAATTGTGAGCTTTCTGTTCTCCAAAACTCTTTTCTTATTTATCTGCTCATTGTTGTTGCTGCCTTACCTATCCTGATGTTGGTTTCTTGGTCCACGATAGTCTTTTAACCATTGTGGATCTCAGATATGCAAAATGTTCAACTGTCTCCAGCTCTTAACCATCAATGTAGACTGCAGGTCTGTCATTAACACTTTGCACCGTAACCTTTGTCTTCTTTTTGCTGATTGTTAGCCCAAATTCACAGCATGCATCAGCAAATGAGTGGATGGTAATTGCTGCATCATCTGCAAACAGTTACTCTCTGATAAGTACCTTCTTTATCCTGGTTTTGGCCATCAGCCTGCCAGCCTTGTAGAGGCTACTATCAGATAAAGAATAGATGAATACACCACCCTCCTGATCTTGAAAAGTGCATTTCAAAAATTGTGAAAAGTATATTACAAAGAGGGTAGAAGCAAGATCACATCCCTGCTTCACTTCAATCTTGATTACAAACTCCTTCGATGTTACAGCGTCAAAGCCAATTGTACCTTTCATACCTGTGTGGAATGACTCAAAAATGCTCAGTAGGGTAGATGGACAACCAATCTTCTTCAGTGTGTTGAGCAGGGCCGCGTTAGCGCAGCCGATAAAAGGCTCGCTTTCAAATCCAGCGGCGACTCGCTCTAGTCAACGGTGGGTGTTCGAAACCGGACGGCTCTCGGGGTTCACCCAGCCTCTAGGAAATGGGTACCAGAGTTGACACTTTGGGGTAAATGGAGGAACGTCGCTGTAGCCACAGAGTTACGTGCCGACGGCAACACAGGCGGACAGTTCTTATAAGCTGTCTGTACTGGTGGCAGAGCACTTATGGTTTATAACCGTGTGCAATGACGCTGGTTCACTCCTGACTTTACCTTTTTTTTTTCTGAGCATACCATTATGACCAATCAAATCAAATGCCTGGTTAAGAACAATAAAAAAATTGCACAGTGGTTGATTTTGCTCTAGGCATTTTTCCTGCAACTGTCGTAATAAAAATATATCAGTAGTAGACCGGTTCCCATGAAAGCCACACTGGGAATCTGGGAAAACCCGGTCTACTAGGATCTGGAGTCTTCACAGAACAATTCTCGCAAGTACTTTTCCAACAGAACACAACTGTAATATTCCCCCGTAGTTATTGCAGTCACTACAATCGCCCTTGATCTTGTACAACATTATGATGCTTAAATCTCTAGGTCTTGTGAAACCTGTCCCTCTTGCATCAGCACAGTGTTATTAGCAGATGAATGTGTGGGGTTAGAATGTCTTTCCCACGCTCCTCAGGATCTCAACAGGAATTCCATCTCTGTCTGGGGCCTTCCCGAAGCCAGTTCATTAATAGCATTCCTAACTTCTATAACTGTTATAAATGTGTGCAGATGGTCAAGGGTTGATAGTGTCTTCATGGCGTTAAAAGCCCTATCTGTTATTTTGGACTCAGCTGAGTACACCTCCACATAATTTCCACCCATCTATTCAACTGCTTGCTTTTCAGCAGTAACGGAAACTAGATACAAATGAAGCAAAACAACACAGATGAAAAAAGTAAACAAACATTTCAAGATGAAACAAAAAATCTGAAGCAACAAAATTAACAAAGTCTAAGCTAATTGAATGATGCCTGTCTTGTAACTTACCTTTGACATGAGAGCTGTGCCAAATCCACCCTTGTATCCATTGCTGGCAGGGACACCATCCAGAACTCCTGGCACCGGGTTATAGACTTCACTGGACCAGCAGCGACCAGAGCTCATGTTGAGAACTCTAGCTAGCAGCTTTGGGTCCAGACCTAACCTGAATCAGAGCAGGAAGAGGATCACAAATATAGATCGGGACTGCATGGGTTACTGCATGAGTTATGAGTTGGATTATCTTCACAGCACTCCGGACACATCGATAGGTGCTCAGATTCCCACCTTAACACATTCACCAGTGTTGTACGGTTAATAGTGCCAGTCCTATGCTGGTTGAAAAGACTTCCTGTGCATCTGGTGTGCTTCTCATGCTTGGCTGTGCCGATCTTTACTCCCAATTCTCATATTCTTAGCAGTGATGTGGACATGTTGCTTCAAAAATCCTTGTCCTAAAGAACGCCCTATCTATAAGGGCACTGACAATGTCTGCATGATCCATGGGTCGCTCATCTTCAATTAATGCAGCACCTGCCAGTCTATCAGCTCTTTCTTTTATTACCAACAACACCTGCACACCTTGTGACAAATATTAAGCTGACTGCACACACAGGAGAGTTTGGCAATGACTCAAACCACTGTCTGCGTATTTAGACAATGACAAATGAAAGAAATATCTGACAAGAAAGAGCAAGACAGTATACAATGCAGAATAGCCACCTTCAGCCACAGTGATGAAGAATACCCCAAGAACAATGGATCTGAGTCTATACAGATGGGTCCACACAAAATGCAGTTAGAAATTATGGTGCAGGAGTTTACATAGAATTCTCAGATGGATCTAGGGTTAAGTCCAGTGTGCCAAGGGGTAAGTACTGCCATAACTATAATGCAGAAACTCAGGCTATCAAGACAACAACAGAGAAACTGCTAACTACCAACCTTGGCTTACAGTCTGTGGCTAACAGACACACAAAAATCTGTACTTGAAGCACTCCAGTCTGGGAAACTACTAGAATTGCAAACACTGCTAACTACCAACCTTGGCTTACAGTATGTGGCTAACAGACCCAACAAATCTGCACTTGAAGCACTCCAGTCTGGGAAACTTCTAGAATTGCAAACACTGCTTACACAACTCAGCTGTGGGTGAAGGGGCACAATGCAGGGATACTGTCCCATGGTGGGATGCATGGAAATGAGAAAGCTTATCAATCCGCAGGGGAAGGTGCAACGAAACAAAATGGCAGATGGATGTACCAGTTACACACCACCCCCAACAAAATGATAATTAAATCGATCAGGAAACCACGAGCCCCAGCACAAGACGATTATTTTTTTATGGACAGATCAGAACAAAAATGATAGCGATTATTTTTTTATGGACAGATCAGAACAAAAATGATAGCCGAATTTATAAGAGAGATAAAATTGCTGATATAACTTATTTCTGGCGAGCAAAAGAAATGAAGTATATGAGCTTTCTGTAACTGTATTGTGACATTTAAGGTTGCCATAAATAATTTGATGTTCTGAAATGAGGACATTGAATTCAATCCAAAGATGGCAGGATGCTCTCAAATTTATAATTTTGATCTCCTTGCTGGTGCTTAACCACAGACTTTTAATGCTGTTTAATCTTTGTCTTGCTATGGCCATCCTCCATCTAATTTATGTCAAACAGTCTCCATTGCTATTCATTATAGAGCCTATATATTCAAAGTTTGTGACCTTTTCAATTTCTTCATCATTTGTTATTTTTCAGTTTAATCTGTGGACATTATTTTCGTTTTCTTCAAATTCAAGAACATATTTTAATCTTCACTGTGCTTTTGGACAGACAATATGAAATGTTCTATTCCCTTTACCGTGTTCTAACAGAGGACTATTCCATCTGCGTAGCAAAGTTCTGGAATAGGGTTGCCACAAATTTTGAGCGGATCATAACTGTCACAAGTCTGGTCATTTTTGACATTTCTCACTTAAGGCCATCATCACAACTATGCTTTCTTGCTCTGCCATCGTTCTCTTCCCCAGTTCGCGTTTGTGATCTGCCTGGCCTGGGGGCCTCACCATCAGATCTTTGAGTTTCATTTTGGGCTTCCATGATGTGTTTCTTGGGATAGTAATGTAGTAGTTTCCTGTTGCTTTCCACATCCACATGGCTTTAGACTACGTCCTCAGATTTCAGCAACCTTTTGGATTGCTAGGGCAAGTGAGTGCCGTGCTCTGCGATGCTCCTGCTAACAGCAGAAGGCACCCCAGAGGTGTCCACTTATCCCGGCGTATATTCGGTCCCCATAGCTGTGTTGGCCACACCGCAGTGTGCTTACCGTCCTCTACCGCGTGGAGATGCAGTTGGGGTTTTCCCTTCACTGAGTCTTGAGACCAGAATGGCATTTACCAAAACTCTCCAGTACTTTCAGAGCACAGAGATATGACTTAGAATGTATAAATAATGTCAGTGACTACTAAGAATGTAGGAATGATGTCACTTCTTCCTCTTCTCCTTACCCTTGTACCTCAGAGAAGTGTCAGGGGGGGGGGGGGGGGGGGCGGCAGCCTTCTTGTTAGGTGTCCAAACCTCTTAACTTGCTGTTCTTTGATGTTAAATTTCAAGAGAGAACAAAAAACAGACTGAAGCGTCAGAGCCCTAACCACCTTGCTAGAGAACTGTACAGACAGCACCAAGATCTGCTTGAAAGAGATGTTGCACTGTGCGAAAAACTTCGGCCAGAACCATGGACAAGCAAGCCAGAGAAAGCAAATGTAGTTCTAAAGGTACCAGGGATCACTTCAAAAGATGCCCAGACGGAGACACAACAGAGAACCATGGCTCTTGCTATGCTTGATGAGAAGTATCCAAACACCACTTGGACTCAGGTTTTCACCGACGGCTCTGCTACAGATGCAGTCAGAAAAGGGGGTTGTGGAATATACATTAAACCCAGCTAAGTAGAACAGAAACTCTCTCTCTACCAGCAGGTGACATCTGCACTAACTTCAGAGCTGAGGCAACTGCCCTCCTCTCTGCAGTCCAACATCTCATCACTCAAGAACACAGAGGGCACCAAATTGTTATACTTAGTGACTCATTGTCTGTTCTCCAAACACTATCAAGCAAAAAACAAGACAAACTAATTGCAGATCTAAGGACCAACATTGGCTTACTCTCCAAGGAAGCAGAACTGGTCTTGCAGTGGATACCAGCCCACTGTGGTATTCAAGGAAATGAGAGAGCAGATGAGTTCGCAAAAGCTGGGAGTAATCTTCCACAACCTCACCCACCACACAGCTACAAGGAAACCAAAACAGCGCTAAAGCAGTCTTTCAAGCGGGAGTGGAGAAGGCAGAATGGAGATTACAGACCAGAGAGTGACAGCATAAACAAACAACAGGAAAGAACAAACATCAATTTTTAGACTTCGGACTGGACACTGTGGTCTTCGAGCACACTTGTACAAGATAGGCATAAAAGAATCTGCTGCCTGTGATTGTGGAGCAGAAAGACAGACCCCTGAGCACATACTACAGTACTGCCCTAATCTCTCCCAGCAAAGACTGTGGATCTGGCCCAAGGGAGCCACATTGCTAGAGAAGCTATGGGGGACTGGTAGCGACCTTAAACGCACAATTCTATTTGTGACTCAATGTTTAGCATGACTGATGTTGAACGCAGAAGAAAAAGAAGACGTTCTTTGATGTCACTGACTCTTAGCATGTTGAAATGGTGTCAATGACTTTTTATAATGCTGAAATGGTGTCAGACTACTTATAATACTGAAATGGTGTCAGTGACCACAACAGAATCACAGCTAACTCAACATGATATTGCTGGGAATAAATGCTGATATTCAACTAGAGGAGATGGCAGCACCAACCTGATTCCGAGATTCATGGTCTCTGAGGTGCCGATCATGGAGATGGCCAACAGCATATTGTTGCAGATCTTGGCAGCCTAGCATAAGAACAATAACAGACAACCTGACATGAGAACAATAACAGACAACCTGGCATGAGAACATAACAGACAACCTGGCATGAGAACATAACAGACAGCATCATCTCTGGTCAAACATTCCACTTGACAAACAAATGAGTCATACAAGATCACAAGTGATATTTGTCATTCTGGAGTCACAGATAATAGATGTACAAGGTCATGTTTTATGCAGGTGACAGACAGTGACTGATGAGCCATGAACCTTTTGTACAGGTAGGAGACTGACAGACAAATCATGTATTTAAAGTATTTGGTTAGTTATGTCACTGACAGACCAGTCATGTCTCTTAGTATTTGGTGAGTTATGTCACTGAAGGACGAGTCATGTATCTTAAGAGTTATGTGACTGATAAACAAGTCATGTGTCTTAAGTATACGGTGAATTATGACACTGACAGATGAGTTATGACTCTTGGTAATTGGTGAGTTGTGTCACTGATAAAACAGTCACGTAGGAGAGTAAGTCACAAATGGTTGTTTAAAAAAATAAAAACATTACTCTCTGAGTCCTAAGGAACGCATTATACGTTCGTAGATTCCTACCTAGAGGCCCAATAAACGCTTGATGAGCCGATTTTACGTCTCTCTTGACCACCCCTTGGGCCTGTGATGCTAAACCCCATGAGACTAAAAGAGTTAAGATGATAAGAACTTGAAAACCAATTATTTTTACACACACACTGTCCCCTTTTTTTCCCAGCATAATTTCCACCAACAATGAGGCACTTGTTCCATCGTTTTATCAGTTCTCCTTAACCTGCTGCATAGAACTGCGTGCTCTGTTTTCTAAACCACATTTTCACTTAACATTCAACTTCTGCATCATTTGTAAAATGTCTTCTGCCATGTCTTTCGTGAAATGTCTTCCACCAAGGTGGGTTTTTGGTGGACCAAAAATCATGTGAGCACTCCATTGCAGCTGCTACCGAGTAAACTGTTACTAGCATGTCTCCTCCACCCGCTGCATGGATGCGTCAGCTGTAATCTCAACAGGACAATCAGATCAGACTTCTTCAACAATCATAGAGAGAAAAATTATGTACTCAGCTATGCACTGCTTTACAGGATAAACAATTGTCAGCATAAAAATGAAGCATTTCCTCATGAATGATCTTTGCAGGTAGCCCCTTTTGCCCCCCCCCCCCCCCCCCCCCCGCCCCCTTTTTTTGGACAAATAATTAAATTAAGAAACAATCTAATTAACAAATTTTCTAGTTGTATCCACCTGAATACTCATTCATTGAACAATATTTTTTTTATTACAACATATACAGCAAATATTTCTTGAGGCCTCAGAGATGTGGTTTTACAGAAGATTGCTTAAAATACCTTGGATTGCCAAAAAGAGCAACCAAGAGGTTTCAAAAGAGGCGGGAGAAGGAGACAGTCATCATTTTTTGGCCATGTTAGGAGAAGAGGCAAAATGGAACATGCTGTGACCACTAGAAAGATCTGTGGAAGGAGGGATAGAGGAATGTAATGAGAGAAGATTCTTTGCAGTCTTGTTGCATGGCATGGAGGTGCGTCAGCACATGAACTGATAAGTGCTGCAGGAGATTGCGGATTGTGGAGAACGGATTAACAGATGTGTCTGAAGAAGACACTGTGCAGTGGGAGAAGGCAAACATCACTGGAAGTGAGAAAGATAGAATGAGGGATGTCAACAATAATGATACTTGTGAGAAAGAAAATACAGCTGTAGGAATATCAAGTGTTTTAGAAATAGAAGAAAATGAAATTGAAAGCCTTAAAGAGATTAGACAACAGTCAATGAACTGTATGTGAAGATAAAATCATAACAAGAAAGTATACAAGAAATAAATGACAGGAAGCTTTGAAAGCAAAATATAACTTTAGTTAAAGTGAGAGAGAATGATGTGGTTATGACAACAGAAACAATGTGATTAAAAAATGACCTATCAGCAACAACTGTGGTAGGTGAAATAAGAGAGACTGAAAACATAATGTATCAACAGCCATTATCAGTCAAAATTACTTAAAGGTCCAAAATGTTACTATCCAAATTCTGCAGCCAGTAAAGGTGGCATTAGAAACTTCGTGCAAGAACAACCAAAACAAAACAACTTAAATAAAGAACTGGCACTTATTCAATTTGAATCTACTGAGAGTAAAAAAGAATTTACCATACTTACAGACAACCTTGGATTAACAAAACTACTTGCAAGTAGTAGTTCAAGAATCTACAGACGGGCTTTGTTAACTTTCCAATTCAAATTCACTATTGAAACACATCAAAGGTACTGGGAATCACCTGCCCAACATTATGCCATGTTTACTGGAGGAGGGGAGAATGTAAGGAGTCATTTTCTCCTTCATATCTTATTTTCATAAACTATTCTGAATGGGTGGTCCTAAGAATAATGTATGCGTGAACAGACAATGTCAAGTCGAGAACGTGACTGTTTCACCTTACCAGCCTGGAGAAACCTGGCTACTCCATCCATGACGACATGAAATGGAGGAATAAAAAGCAGCTGTGACTGTGTAGTGTCTGATGCCATTTTGTGAGTTTGTGAAGTGCCAGCGTGAGATGCGGTGACAGTGTTAATGTTTGACGTTAGTACCAACATACTTGTGAATAGAGCTAGGAACCTAGACAATTTACCTCTGGCATTGTTTTGATCGAGAGGACATTACTGCAGAATAAACTGAATCGTTATTTGCTGTTTGGTGTTTTCTTATTGTGTATTCCTGTTCAAGTTTGCTATGTTATGGTATGCACGAATGTGTCAAAGTAGACTGCAGATAATTACAGCCACTATCTTTACAGACACTTTTGCTTCAGATAAAAACATTGAAATCAGTTCTGAGAAAGAAAAAAAAAGCAAGAGATTCAAGAAAACAGACAATACAAGTCAGAAAGAAATAACACAAGAGGCGCTTGAGGCACCGATCAAACTAAGTGAACCAGAGTTGGCCATTTTAAAGCTGAAAATGTGGAAGTCACCAGGAACAGACAGTACATCCAACCAAATGATCACAAAAACTAGGAACATAAGCCAAATCAAAGCTTTCACATATGTTTAATGCTTGCTGGACAACAGGAAAAGAATCACAGATAAGGAAAGAGGCAATTATGATACTCCTCATAAAACCTGGGAAAGAGAGTTCCGATTCCTTTAACTACAGACTGATCAGCCTTACCAGCTGTCTCTGCAGAACAATGGAGAGCATCACCAGCCTCAGACTACAGTGGAACATTGAAAGTGAAAACATGATTACACCACAGCAGGTGGGCTTTATAAAGTTTTTACTCCACGGAAGACCAGACAACATACCTCTCTCAAGAAATAGATGAAGCATTTCAAGATAAGAAACTGGCACTCACAGCATGGATAGATTTAAGGAAAGCTTTGAATAAGGTTTGGAAGGAGGGGCTTTTGAAGAAATTGAGAAACTATAAAGTAAATGGAAGAATGTACAATTGGATTGAAGTAAACCTACATAACAGAAGAGTCCAGGTGAGGCAGACAAATTCAAGAGTAAAAAAGTCCTGCCACAACACGGGTTCCCCAAAAGAGAGTGTCCTGTCACCCACACTTTTCCTCTTATATATACATCAATGACCTGGTCGCTGATATACCAAATGGAATCAAAATGCAAACTGACAACCTGGTACTGTGGTGCACTAATGAACATGCAAAGGTAGCCACAAGAATACTACAGCAAGCTACAGAAGCTCTTGGGGCATGGGCAAATAAATGGTGTGCCCGCATTAACACAGACAAATGTAGCACCACACTCTTCACCCTCTCCCTAAAGCAAAAAGCTGGCGTCATAAAAAAAAAAATGGAATACCCCTAAGATATGGCAAAGAGCCAGGTACCTCTGAGTCACATTTGAATAGAATGAATTCAAGAGAAATTTGACTAAAAAGCTCAACAAAATGGGAAAGAGGAAAACGTGCACAAAACAACACAACGTAACGTTTCGGCCAGGCAGCCTTTTTCAAACACAAGTGAAATACACAAACGAGGAATGGAGAGTATGTAGATCTCTAAGGGGTGACGTGAGCGACGTTTAAAAAATGTGATGCGGAATAAATGAAATAAAATAAAATAAACGATAGCTAAATAGCCTTTTTCAAACACAAGTGAAATACACAAACGAGGCCGAAACGTTACGTTGTGTTGTTTTGTGCACGTTTTCCTCTTTCCCATTTTGTTGAGCTTTTTAGTCAAATTTCTCTTGAATTCATTGTATTAGCTTGACTGCAGTCACCCCCATATTTTCACCACATTTGAATAGGTAGACATGGAGGAAACACATCAACAAGGCCAGGAGGAAGGCAGCTATGCTAAGAAAACTAAGTGGAACCACATGTGGAGCCAGTGGGGAAAATACTTATTAAGTACACATACGGAGCATACAACCATACTTAGATATTGGCCAACTGCATGGTGTTAATCATCCAGTACCACATTAAAGGAGTTGGACAAAGTGCAAAACCAAGCACTTAGAGTCATCACAGGAGTGAGGAAATCAACCCCCGTATCAGAAAAGGAGAAAGGTGGGAAAACACAGGCACAGAAAGAACGCAGAGATACAAAGTTGCAAATACAAGCGAAAAAGTCCCTCAGTATGCCAGATTACCCCATGAAGATTACATTTCTCAGAACCTAGCAATAAGATGGCTAATCTTAAGGAAAGCTTTATACATTAAGCAAAAAGATTATGCAAACTACTGACCTTCCACTGGTTGTCAGCTTAAAAGTATTCCAGAGCAAACCCCATGGAGAGAAGAATGCAAACTAGACGTACAAATTCAGACAAATATGAAAGAAATATCTGACAAGAAAGAGCAAGACAGCATACAATGCAGAATAGCCACCCTCAGCCACAATGACGAAGAATACCGCCAAGAACAATGGATCTGAGTCTATACAGATGGGTCCACACAAAATGCAGTTAGAAATTATGGTGCAGGAGTGTTCACAGAATTCTCAGATGGAACTAGGGATAAGTCCAGTGTGCCATGTGGTAAGTACTGCCATAACTATAATGCAGAAACTCAGGCTATCAAGACAGCAACAGAGAAACTGCTAACTACCAACCTTGGCTTACAGTCTGTGGCTAACAGACCCCAACAAATCTGCACTTGAAGCACTCCAGTCTGGGAAACTACTAGAATTGCAAACACTGCTAACTACCAACCTTGGCTTACAGTCTGTGGCTAACAGACCCAACAAAATCTGTACTTGAAGCACTCCAGTCTGGGAAACTACTAGAATTGCAAACACTGCTAACTACCAACCTTGGCTTACAGTATGTGGCTAACAGACCCAACAAAATCTGTACTTGAAGCACTCCAGTCCAGGAAACTTCTAGAATTGCAAACACTGCTTACACAACTCAGCTGTGGGTGAAGGGGCACAATGCAGGGATACCGTCCCATGGTGGGATGCATGGAAATGAGAAAGCTTATCAATCCGCAGGCGAAGGTGCAACGAAACAAAATGGCAGTTGGATGTACAAGTTACATACCTCCCACACACAAAAATGATAATTAAATCGATCAGGAAACCACCAGCTCCAGCACAAGACGACTATTTTATTTTGGACAGATCAGAACAAGTCGTTATCATTAGTCTCAAAACAGGACAGAATCGATTATGTAACCACATGTACACAAATTTCAAGATTGGCGTATCAGCCATGTGCACCTATTGAAATGTCCACAACACAGCTGAACATGTACTTCATGACTGCACCGAACTTGATACATTAAGGCAAACCTTTGGGCCAGAAAGAACAACAATGGAACATAACTCTAGGGACCACAGAACAAACTAAATTTGATAGTGAAATTTACAGGAGAGATAAAATTGCTGAAACAACTTATTTCTGGTGAATTAAAGAAGTTGAATATGAGATTTCCATGACAGTATTGTGACATATAGGGTTGCCATATTTTGGTGTCACTGAAATGAGGACATTGAATTCCATTTGAAACGAGCTCCTTCAATTTTTTTTCTGATGACCTGATCTTTTTTTTAATGTCTCTTTGGCATCTAATGTCCAAAAAACTGTCTGCATGTGACATTTTAAACATTGAATTTTACAAGTGAAACTGACTAATTACACACTAAGATGTTTTATTTCAATGGACTGTTAACTCTTCTTTATGACAGACAGTTAACTCTACTAGTGTGACTGATAGTTAGCTCTTCTTTGTGACTGAGAGTTGACTCTTCTATGTGACTGACAGTTAATTCTACTAGTGTGACTAACAGTTAACTTTACAAGTGTGACTGAAAGTTAACTCTACTAGTCAGTCAGACAGCTTACTAGTGTGACTGACAGTTTACTCTTCTGTGTGACTGACAGTTTACTCTTCTATGTGACTGACAGTTTACTCTTCTGTGTGACTGACAGTTTACTCTTCCATGTGACTGACAGTTTACTCTTCTATGTGACTGACAGTTTACTCTTCTGTGTGACTGACAGTTTACTCTTCTGTGTGACTGACAGTTTACTCTTCCATGTGACTGACAGTTTACTCTTCTATGTGACTGACAGTTTACTTTTACTCTTCCATGTGACTGACAGTTTACTCTTCTGTGTGACTGACAGTTTACTCTTCTGTGTGACTGACAGTTTACTCTTCTGTGTGACTGACAGTTTACTCTTCCATGTGACTGACAGTTTACTCTTCTGTGTGACTGACAGTTTACTCTTCTATGTGACTGACAGTTTACTCTTCTATGTGACTGACAGTTTACTCTTCTGTGTGACTGACAGTTTACTCTTCCATGTGACTGACAGTTTACTCTTCTATGTGACTGACAGTTTACTCTTCTGTGTGACTGACAGTTTACTCTTCTGTGTGACTGACAGTTTACTCTTCTGTGTGACTGACAGTTTACTCTTCTGTGTGACTGACAGTTTACTCTTCTGTGTGACTGACAGTTTACTCTTCTGTGTGACTGACAGTTTACTCTTCTATGTGACTGACAGTTTACTCTTCCATGTGACTGACAGTTTACTCTTCTATGTGACTGACAGTTTACTCTTCTACTGAGACTGACAGTTAATTCTACTAGTGTGACTAACAGTTAACTTTACAAGTGTGACTGAAAGTTAACTCTAGTCAGTCAGACAGCTTTACTCAGCTTACTATGTGTGACTGACAGTTTACTCTTCTGTGTGACTGACAGTTTACTCTTCTGTGTGACTGACAGTTTACTCTTCCATGTGACTGACAGTTTACTCTTCCTGGACAGTTAATTTACATGACTGACAGTTTACTCTCAGTGTTGTGACTGACAGTTTACTATCTGTGTGGACTGACAGTTTACTCTTCTATGTGACTGACAGTTTACTTCTTCATGTGACTGACAGTTTACTCTTCTATGTGACTGACAGTTTACTCTTCCATGTGACTGACAGTTTACTCTTCCATGTGACTGACAGTTTACTCTTCTATGTGACTGACAGTTTACTCTTCTGTGTGACTGACAGTTTACTCTTCCATGTGACTGACAGTTTACTCTTCCATGTGACTGACAGTTTACTCTTCTATGTGACTGACAGTTTACTCTTCTGTGTGACTGACAGTTTACTCTTCCATGTGACTGACAGTTTACTCTTCTGTGTGACTGACAGTTTACTCTTCTGTGTGACTGACAGTTTACTCTTCCATGTGACTGACAGTTTACTCTTCCATGTGACTGACAGTTTACTCTTCTATGTGACTGACAGTTTATGACTTATCTATGTGACAGTGTGACTGACTTTGACTACTCTTCTGTGTGACTGACAGTTTACTCTTTCATGTGACTGACAGTTTCTTCTGTGTGACTCTTTACTCTATGTGTGACTGACAGTTTTCATGTGATTACAGTTTAAGCTTCCAGTGACTGACAGTTTACTCTTCTATGTGACTGACAGTTTACTCTTCCATGTGACTGACAGTTTACTCTTCCATGTGACTGACAGTTTACTAGTGTGACTGACAATTGTATTAGTGTGCCTGGCAGTTATTTCTACTAGTGTGACTGTCAGTTAACATTTCTAGTGTCTTTGCTGCAGGACTTGAGTCATGTTAATTGCAGTCCTATCATCACAGGAAGTAGATAAGCCCATAACTGCTTGGTTTCTACTTTCTTGGTAAAGCCAGTAGCATACACATGCATTAAAAGCATAAGGTGACTATCAAAAGTTCCAAAACAAACAGCCCGGTACATCCAACAGACTTGGACGTTAGATGTATCAAGAACCCACCCAACAGACTTAGGTGATAGATGGGTCAGGTACTCACCCAACAGACTTTGGTGACAGATGGGTCAGGTACTCACCCAACAGACTTTGGTGACAGATGGGTCAGGTACTTACCCAACAGACTTAGGTGATAGATGGGTCAGGTACTCACCCAACAGACTTAGGTGATAGATGGGTCAGGTACTCACCCAACAGACTTTGGTGACAGATGGGTCAGGTACTCACCCAACAGACTTTGGTGACAGATGGGTCAGGTACTCACCCAACAGACTTTGGTGACAGATGGGTCAGGTACCCATCCAACAGATTTTGGTGACAGATAGGTCAGGTACTCCCCCAAGAGACTTTGGTGACAGATGGATCAAGTACTCATCCAACAGACTTAGGTGATAGATGGATCAGGTACTCACCCAACAGACTTAGGTGATAGATGGGTCAGGTACTCACCCAAGAGACTTTGGTGACAGATGGGTGGCATATCCACTTGGCACAATCAGATGACAGAGATAGACAAAAGAAATGCAGGTGGAGACTGTCAAGGTAAGCTACACCTACCTGTCCTGTGCCAACAACACCACAGTGGACCACATTTTTGCCCATGCTGTCCAGGATGACCTTGGCCTGATTAAAGCTAGACTCAGATCCCCCAACCATGAAGGTCAAACCAGCATCTCTGGCAGCATTAACACCTGGATGGCAGACAAGTTCATGGAGACATAAACACACTTATCGACAGCCTAACATAAGTTCTTGTTAATAGATACACAACAGTATATGGAGACTTACAGACACAATTATTGACAGCCTAACATAAGTTCTTGTTAATAGATACACAACAGTATATGGAGACTTACAGACACAATTATTGACAGCCTAACATAAGTTCTTGTTAATAGATACACAACAGTATATGGAGACTTACAGACACAATTATTGACAGCCTAACATAAGTTCTTGTTAATAGATACACAACAGTATATGGAGACTTACAGACACAATTATTGACAGCCTAACATAAGTTCTTGTTAATAGATACACAACAGTATATGGAGACTTACAGACACAATTATTGACAGCCTAACATGTGATACACAACTGTTAATGTGTACTAATACACACAGTTATTGACAGCTTAACATAAATTCTTCTCAATAGTAACAAAAAAGTTCATGGGTACTTATACACACAACTATTGACATGCTAACATGTGATACACAACTGTTAATGGGTACTTATACACACAACTATTGACATGCTAACATGTGATACACAACTGTTAATGGGTACTTATACACACAACTATTGACATGCTAACATGTGATACACAACTGTTCATGGGTACTTATACACACAACTATTGACATGCTAACATGTGATACACAACTGTTCATGGGTACTTATACACACAACTATTGACATTGACATGCTAACATGTGATACACAACTGTTCATGGGTACTTATACACACAACTATTGACATGCTAACATGTGATACACAACTGTTAATGGGTACTTATACACACAACTATTGACATGCTAACATGTGATACACAACTGTTCATGGGTACTTATACACACAACTATTGACATGCTAACATGTGATACACAACTGTTAATGGGTACTTATACACACAACTATTGACATGCTAACATGTGATACACAACTGTTAATAGGTACTTATACACACAACTATTGACATGCTAACATGTGATACACAACTGTTAATGGGTACTTTTACACACAACTATTGACATGCTAACATAGCAAATATCTGGCATGCAGCGAGAAATGGCCTAGCAGACGAGGGAAGCCTGTGGTTGACTGAAGTTGAGAGCAAATGTTTGCTGTGTATCAGTAACCACCGACAGGAGTGAATGGCAGGTACAAGTTTAAGGTAACACGGATTATTAATTTACCAGCACCTGAGTCGATCTCTGTACCAGAATACTTTCTAGATGATCTCCGATACTGACACGACTGATGAATCAGCAATGAACATTTGAGGGCGTAAATTGGTCTTCCTCTTGGTGTGTCACTGGTACTAACTCTCACCTAGTGTAGTCCTAGTCAGACGCAGGCGAGTCATTGCACAGCTCAAGTTCTTGTTAACAGATACACAACAGTTAATGGAGACTTATAGACACAACTACTGACTGTCTACTTCTTCTTCTTCTTTCATTCGCCTGAAATAAGTTGTCTATATCAGCAATTTTGTCTCTTGTATAAATTTCACTGTCGTTGTTAGTTCATTCAGTGGCCCATAGAGTTTACGTTCCACTGTTGTTCTTTCTGGCCAAAAGGTTTGCCTTAATGGGTCAAATTCGGTTCAGTCCTGGAGTACATGCTCTGCTGTCTGGGGCACCTTTCCACGGTGCACATGGCTGATACCCCTATCTTGAATTCTGTGTACATGTGGTTATGTAATCGGTTCTGCCCTGTTCTGAGGCGGAAGATAATGACTTGTTCTGGTCTGTCCATAATAAAATAGTCGTCTTGTGCTGGGGCTGGTGGTTTCCTGACAATTTAATGATTCTTTTCTTTTGGTGGTATGTGACTGATACAACCGGTTGCTCTTTTGTCGCACCTTCCCCTGCCAGTTGATCAGCTTTCTCATTTCCAGGCACTCCACAATGAGACAGCATCCACTGCATTACGACTCTTCGCTGAAGACTGAGTTGTGTCAGCAGTGTTTGCAATTCTGGTAGTTTCCTAGACTGGAGTGCTTCAAGTATGGATTTAGCATCTGTCAGCATTACCACATACTGAGAATTGGTATTTACCAGTTTCTCTGTTGCTATCTTGAAAGCCTGAGTTTCTGCATCGTAGTTATGGCAGTACTTCCCGGTTGGTACGCTGGACTTATCCCTAGTACCATCTGGGAATTCGATGTACACTCCAGCACCACCATTTCTAACTGCACTTTGTGGGGACCCATCTGTATAGACTCTGACCCATTTTTCTTGTGGGTATTCTTCATCACTATAACTGAGGGTGGCCATTCTGAATTGTACACTATCTTGCTCTTTCTTGTCAAATATCCCACTCACATTTGTTTGGATTTGTACTATTAGTTTGCATTTTTCTCTATATGGGGTTTGTTCTGGAAAACTTTTAAGTGGACAATCAATTTCTGGAAGGTCAGTAGTTTGTCTACATATTCTTTTTGCTTGGTGTATATAGCTGCTTCTTTTTAACCGTCCCAAGGCTAGGTTCTGAAATCTATTTTTCATCGTGTGATCTGGCATACTGAGGAACTTTTCAGCTTGTATTTGCATGTCTGTGTGTGTCTCTGTTTGTGTGCATATGTGTGTTATATGTGCGAGTCTGCTTGCCTTTGAGTGTGTATGTGTATGAGTGAATGTTGTGTATGTCCCTGTGTGTGTGTCTTTGCCTGAGTGTGTGTATGTGTGTGTGTGTATGTGTCAATGTGGGTTTATGTCTGAGTGCATCAGTGTGTGAGTTTTTAGGTGTCTTTTTGTGCAGCTATGTGTGTGTGTATAGATGTGTGTGTGTGTCTGGGTTGTATGCATATGTGTCTTAGAGTGTGTGTTTGTGAGAGTGTGTCTGTGTGGGTAATTGTGTGCATGAATGTGTGTGTATGTGTGTGTGTGTGTGTGCATGTTTGTATGTACGTGGATGTGTATGTATGTGTGTGCTGGGTGCCTGTGTGTGTGTGAGTGAATGGGTTTGCATTTGTATGTGTTCGCGTGCTAGCATGCGCATGTATTTTACCACCCATGCGTTTGTTTTTGACTTGATATTCATAATATGCATATTATTACATGAACATAACATGCTTTATTGATAAAATACAACTGCTGTGTGAAAGATGAGAGTTTGGAAGGGCCAATTGTAAGACAGGCCTGTGTGCCTAATTTGTGACCCTTTGAAAATTAAGTTTGTTTTTTTGTTCGTTTGTTCTGCAAAGCCTGCTGGCCAATCCCTGCACTTCTGTTCCCTGTAATAAAAACCCTACACACGATTGACTTTTGCTCAGCTCTAATTGTGTCGTCTGCTTGCACCATCCAAGACTTTCCTCAAGTCAGCCTGTGAAATCATCTGTGACAAGAACTAGTATTATTGAGGAGTGGTCCCCCGTGTGGGTTCCGGCGCCCTATTATAGGGAAAACAAGAATAGACCCACTGCCTACCCAAAAGCATGTCGTAAGAGTCAACTAATTAGGAGCTTCCTTCGAAGTCGGAGTGCATCTGCCTGAGGGGCAAGGAACCTTCATCTTCTTCTTCTTCGCATTCACCAGCTGTAAACTCCTGCGGCAAGCTCTGGTTGCTCGTCCACTTCTGGACTGCAGTCCTGTTCCAGAACCTGAGTGTCGCGTGTGCATCCGTTTTACAGATCTGACTCATTTGTATGCAGACTGCTGGTTCCTTGTCTCTCATGCAGATGCACTCCAACTTTGAAGGAAGCTCCCAATTAGTTGACTCTTACGATATAAAGGTAAAGGTAAAGTCGGGAGATGTGAACCAGCGTCATTGCACACGGTTATAAACTATAAGTGCTCTGCCACCAGTACGGACAGCTGATAAGAATTGTCTGCCTGTGTCGCCGTTCACACGTAACTCTATAGCTACAGCGATGTTCCTCCATTTACCCCAGATTATCACTCTGGTACCCATTTCCTAGAGGCTGGGTGAACCCCAGGAGCTGCCCGGTTTCGAACACCGACCGTGGGCTGCAACGCGTCACAGCTGGATTTGAAAGCGAGCTTATTATTGACTGCGCTAACGCAGCTCCCTCTCTTACGACATGCTTTTGGGTAGGAGGTGGGTCTATTCTTGTTTTCCCTATAATGGGGCCCCGGAACCCACATGGGTATAGGCAAGGATCCAACAGTCTGCACACAATTGTGTCAGCTCTGTCAAACGGATGAACATGCAACCCTCAGGTTCTGGAACAGGACTGCAGTCCAGAAGTGGACAAACAACCAGAACTTTCCACCACAGTTTTAAGCTGGTGAACGTAAAGAAGACGAATGAGCAGTGGTTACCAAGCTATCTTGATACCCTTGCCAAAGCCTGGCAAAGACCACAAACAAATTCAGGGGTATTGGGCAATCACCATGCAGAAAACTATAGGCAAGCTGTTGGAGAAGAAAACTGCCAGAAAAATATCGTGCAAGCTAGAGAGACGAAGTTTTCTTCCATCTACCTTTGGAAAGTACCGTACAAACAGAGAAACCTGGACGAATGCAGCATTTTTTTGCACAAGACATATACAAAGGTTTCCATTCAGGCATTGAAACGTGGCTATTTATCTTCAGGATGTGTGCAAAAGAGTACCATTAGACCAGTCGCTCAAAACCTTCCTAATGCTGCGACCCTTTAATACAGTTCCCTCACAGTGTGGCGACCCCCAAAACAATTGTTTTCCTTCATAACTTAAATGAATGTGTTTTCCTATGGTATTAGGAAACCTGTGAAAGGGTTATTCGACCGATTGAAAGGGTCACGACCCGCAAGTTGAGAACCACTGCGTTTGAATTTTAAATGTGTCAACTACCAGAATTGTTTGTTTTTCATAGAATCCTCTTTTCCAGCTCTTAATTTTCTAGGAATTCCCATTTAGAATCCCATCAAACACTGTTTAACATCTCCCTTCTTAATGTCCGTCAAGCAGTCTGTCATCCAGGATCGTGCCACTGACCTGGGTCTGCCTCAGAGTCACATCTGAAAATCTGACTGAGCTCAGTTCCAAGGGTGTCCGTTTGTTATATAGAATCAACCATCGGAGAGTCACATGTTGCATTTCCAAAAATTCTTTTGGATAACTGTTGTGAATCTTTCTAACATTCTAGCTCTCTGACCTTCCCTTAATTATCAGAGGTGCTATCTTATTTATGTGGCTTTTACGGGTGTCAAGTGATTTCTATGACATAATAATTCCAACATGTTTCCTGTGTCAGTGTTGACCTAGTATCTGTTGATGCCATCTACATGTCTGGCCATCGCTAGGTACCCAGTTTGTGTTTACTTGCAAACTTAATTAACAGTTGCATATTCTGGCTTGCAAAAAAGCGCTTGTCTCCAAATCAAAACATCTAACTAACTAACTCGGGCTTCATGAAAGAAGTGCAATTTATCTGTAGCTACTCTGAGACATGACTTCACTTCAAGTATTTTGAGCCTGCATGCAACATTCAGCAGTGCAAGCGGATACTGCATGCAACATTCAGCAGTGCAAGAGGATACTGCATGCAACATTCAGCAGTGCAAGCGGATACTGCATGCGACATTCAGCAGTGCAAGTGGATACTGCATACATACATCAAATGCTGTTAAAGTGCAATCTCTTCTTCTTCTTAGCGTCCATCTGCTGTAAACTCTGGTGCAATCTTCTGGTTGCTCATCCACTCCTGGACTTTGGTCTTGATCTGGAACTTTAACTCTGCGTGCACATCCGTTTTACAGATCTGGCATATTTGTACAACACAGACTGTTGGTTCCTTGCCTCTCAGGCAGAAGCACTCTGAAGAACAAATCTTGTAATGAGTCACCTGCTACGACAGGCGTGTTATGTGGGTATATTCTTTGTTATCTAAAACGGAGCCCTGGAGCCCACACAGGGAGAACAGCAGTCCTTGCTTCATGTCCACTGCTGCCCTGGAGCCCACACAGGGAGAACAGCAGTCCTTGCTTCATGTCCACTGCTGCCCTGGAGCCCACACAGGGAGAACAGCAGTCCTTGCTTCATGTCCACTGCTGCCCTGGAGCCCACACAGGGAGAACAGCAGTCCTTGCTTCATGTCCACTGCTGCCCTGGAGCCCACACAGGGAGGAGAACAGCAGTCCTTGCTTCATGTCCACTGCTGCCCTGGAGCCCACACAGGGAGAACAGCAGTCCTTGCTTCATGTCCACTGCTGCCCTGGAGCCCACACAGGGAGAACAGCAGTCCTTGCTTCATGTCCACTGCTGCCATAATCTGAGTGCACTGAGCTGCCTTTGAGCATTCTAGTGCCACTGCCTGCACATAATCCCTGAAGGAAAGGCTTCTATCAAAGATAACAGCTAGGTCCCTTATTTTACTTTCTCTTTGGATGTTTCTGTTATGAACCTGGGACATTAGATCTAACAATACCACTTTCTAGACAGCACCATCAAACAGTCACCTGGAATATGAGTCCTCATCTCTGTATATCTGCCTGTCACATTGCTGTGTGTCACTCTTGAGCTGTTTGTTGCCTATCTCTTGTCTGTCCATCTCTCTGTCTGTGTCCCTCTATCTCCACCTGTGTCCCCCCCCTCTATCTCTGTGACCTTCCGTCCGTCAGTGAGTGTGTGGTGTGGTGTGTGTGTGTGTGTCCGCCCCCCCCACCCACCTCTGCATGTTAATAGTTCTCCGTGTCTCCCTGTGTGAGTGTATGCATGTGTGTATGTCCTGTGTGTCTACCTACCGCCTGACACTGGGGCATCCAGGAACATAGCTCCATGTTGTTCAGCTTGTGTGGCTATCTGCTGTGAAACAGATGGATCTATGGTGCTGCAGTCAATGAGTAGTGTCCCTGCCTGAACTGTGCTAGTATGGGAAATCAGAAACCACATTGGGTTGATGTGAGATATTTATCTCAGAAAGAAATAAAAATCACATTTGTATGAAAAACATATCTCAACAAAATCTGGGTGATGTCACACATTTATCCCATCAATATCTGCATTGTGTCACAAATTTATCTCAGCAAATTCCCATCTGTTTCACATATTTATCTCATCAAGCTCTAGTTTGTGTCACATATTTATGCTATCAAGCTCTGGTTTGTGTCACATATTTACGCCATAAATCTCTGAGTTGTCACACATTTATCTCAGCAAGTCCTGGATTGTGTCACACATCTAAGTCCGGTCTGTCACAGTATATATCTCAGTATTGTGTCACATATTTATCTCATCAAGTCCTGGATTGTGTCACACATTTATCTCATCAAGTTCTGTATTGTGTCACATATTTATCTTAGCAAGTCCTGGATTGTGTCACACATTTATCTCATCAAGTTCTGGCCTGTGTCACATATTTATCTCAGCAAGTCCTGGATTGTGTCACATATTTATCTCAGCAAGTTCTGTATTGTGTCACATATTTATCTCAGCAAGGCCTTGATTGTGTCACACATTTATCTCATCAAGTTCTGTATTGTGTCACATATTTATCTCATCCTTTGTGTCACAGTTTATCTCATCAAGTTCTTGTGTCACATATTTATTTCAGCAAGTCCTGGATTGTGTCACATATTTATCTCATCAAGTTTTGTTTTGTGTCACATATTTATCTCAGCAAGGCCTTGATTGTGTCACACATTTATCTCATCAAGTTCTGGCCTGTGTCACATATTTATCTCAGCAAGTCCTGGATTGTGTCATATCAAGTTCTGTTTTGTGTCATATATATATCTCATATTGTGTCATTTATATATATATTGTGTCATATATTTATCTCAGCATAGTATGGATTGTGTCACATATATATATCTCAGCATGTTCTGTGTTGTGTCAAATATTTATCTCAGCAAGTCCTGGTTTGTGTCACATATTTATCTCATCAAGTTCTGTGTGTCACATATTTATCTCATCAAGTTCTTGCTTGTGTCACATATTTATCATATCAAGTCCTGGATTGTGTCACACATTTATCTCATCAAGTTCTGATTTGTGACACATTTATCTTATCAAGTTCTGTGATGTCACATATTTGTGTCATCAAGTTCTGGTCTGTGTCACAAATTTACCTCATCAATTTCTGTATTGTGTCACACATTTATCTCAACAAGTTCTTTATTGTGTCACATTTTTATATCATCAAGTTCTGTGTTGTGTCATACATTTACCTTAGCAAGTTGTCTTATGTCACATATTTATCTCATCAGATTGTGCTGTGTCACACATTTACGTCATCAAGTTTTGGTCATCTGTGAACAGTGCCTATGCACACGCGCACCCAGACACACGCCTATACACATAAGCATGCGCACACTTTGCATGCGCACGCACGCGCACACACACACACATGGCATCCATTCTAGGCTCTGATGTAGCGATGACATGCAACATCCACATGGTCAAAGAATGCTGCATGTCAAGATCCTGGTAGTTGTAGAGATAGAACAAATGTACAACTGCAGCAAACTATGTAATTGCCACGGGGTATACTCAGGCCACATGAGCTACATGAGGTTACAGAAAACAAACTCAGATAGTGAGCAGGCAAAAGGCAGTCGTCGGCTAAACATCTGAGAAAACAAACTCAGATTGTGAGCAGGCAAAAGGCAGTCGTCAGCTAAACATCTGAGAAAACAAACTCACATAGTGAGCAGGCAAAAGGCAGTCGTCAGCTAAACATCTGAGAAAACAAACTCAGATAGTCCAGCAGGCAGAAGGCAGTCGTCAACTAAACATCTGAGAAAACAAACTCAGATAGTCCAGCTGGCAGAAGGCAGTCGTCAACTAAACATCTGAGAAAACAAACTCAGATAGTACAGCAGGCAGAAGGCAGTCGTCAGCTAAACATCTGAGCACAAGGTCTGCACAATTATGATGTGGCAATACCACATAGGAGTCGAATATGGTAGTAATGATTCTAATATTGATAGTACAGCAGGAAGTAGTGGTGACAGTTTTATATGCAAAGTATCTTTGACTAATCCAAGGATCTGATAAATGATATGGTCCATATAACATTAGATTGGCACATATACCCCCTAAAGATGTGATGGATGATATAGTCCACATGACACTGGACTGGTACATGTACCCCCTAAAGATGTGATGGATTATACCGTCAACACAACACTAGACTTTGCACATGTACCGACCTAACGACACAATGGATGATATAGTCCACATGACACTGGACTGGCACATGTACCCCCCCCCCCCCCCCAAGATGTGATGGATGATATCGTCCACACAACACTAGACTGGCACATGTACCCACCTAAAGATGTGATGAATGTTATTGTCCACATGACACTGGACTGGCACATGTACCCTTCCCCCCCCCCCCCCCCCCCAAGATGTGATGGATGTTATTGTCCACATGACACTAGACTGGCACATGTACCCACCTAAAGATGTGATGGATGATATGGTCCACACAACACTAGACTGGCACATGTACCCCCCCCCCCCTAAAGATGTGATGGATGATATCGCCCACACTATAACATAATACTGGCACATGTACCCACCTAAAGATGTGATGAATGTTATTGTCCACATGACACTGGACTGGCACATGTACCCCCCCCCCCCCCCCCCCCTCCCAAGATGTGATGGTTGATATCGTCCACACAACACTAGAATGGCACATGTACCCACCTAAAGATGTGATGGATGATATGGTCCACACAACATTAGACTGGCACATGTACCCACCTAAAGATGTGATGGATGATATGGTCCACACAACACTAGACTGGCACATGTACCCACCTAAAGATATGATGGATGATATGGTCCACACATCACTAGACTGGCACATGTACCCACCTAAAGATGTGATGGATGATATTGTCCACACAACACTAGACTGGCACATGTACCCACCTAAAGATGTGATGGATGATATTGTCCACACAACACTAGACTGACACATGTACCTACCTAAAGATGTGGTGGATTTTATCGTCCACACAACACTAGACTGGCACATGTACCCACCTAAAGATGTGATGGATGATATTGTCCACACAACAAGAGACTGGCACATGTACCCACCTAAAGATGTGATGGATGATATTGTCCACACAACACTAGACTGGCACATGTACCCACCTAAAGATGTGGTGGATGTTATCGTCCACACAACACTAGACTGGCACATGTACCCACCTAAAGATGTGATGGATGATATTGTCTACACAACACTAGACTGGCACATGTACCCACCTAAAGATGTGGTGGATGTTATCGTCCACACAACACTAGACTGGCACATGTACCCACCTAAAGATGTGATGGATGATATGGTCCACATAACACTAGACTGGCACATGTACCCACCTAAAGATGTGATGGATGATACGGTCCAGACAACACTAGACTGGCACATGTACCCACCTAAAGATGTGATGGATGATATGGTCCAGACAACACTAGACTGGCACATGTACCCACCTAAAGATGTGATGGATGATATGGTCCACATAACACTAGACTGGCACATGTACCCACCTAAAGATGTGGTGGATGATATTGTCCACACAACACTAGACTGGCACATGTACCCACCTAAAGATGTGATGGATGATATTGTCCACACAACACTAGACTGGCACATGTACCCACCTAAAGATGTGGTGGATGTTATCGTCCACACAACACTAGACTGGCACATGTACCCACCTAAAGATGTGGTGGATGTTATCGTCCGCACAACACTAGACTGGCACATGTACCCACCTAAAGATGTGATGGATGATATCATCCACGCAACACTAGACTGGCACATGTACCCACCTAAAGATGTGATGGATGATATGGTCCACACAACACTAGACTGGCACATGTACCCACCTAAAGATGTGATGGATGATATGGTCCACACAACACTAGACTGGCACATGTACCCACCTAAAGATGTGATGGATGATATCGTCCACACAACACTAGACTAGCACATGTACCCACCTAAAGATGAGATGGATGATATGGTCCACACAACACTAGACTGGCACATGTACCCACCTAAAGATGTGATGGATGATATGGTCCACACAACACTAGACTGGCACATGTACCCACCTAAAGATGCCCTGTTTGCCAGCATACACCTCCTGCACCTGCTGGCTTGCTGGGAGCATGGACACCAGTCTGGTCACAGAGGAAGCAACACCAGCTGGGGAGTCAGCAACCGTAGCCCCTGGAAGAAAAGATCCCTGTTATCTATACAAGCTTCCATCATCATCATTGTAATCACTTAGGACGCTGTTGCATATCTCTCACCACTGCCTGTAGCTCTTGAACTTTCTGTTGCATATCTCTCACCACCTGCCTGTAGCCCTTGAACTGTCTGTTGCATATCTCTCATCACCTGCCTGTAGCCTGTGAGCTGTCTGTTGCATATCTCTCACCACCTGCCTGTAGCCTGTGAGCTGTCTGTTGCATATCTCTCACCACCTGCCTGTAGCCTGTGAGCTGTCTGTTGCATATCTCTCACCACCTGCCTGTAGCCTGTGAGCTGTCTGTTGCATATCTCTCACCACCTGCCTGTAGCCTGTGAGCTGCCTGTTGCATATCTCTCACCACCTGCCTGTAGCCTGTGAGCTGTCTGTTGCATATCTCTCACCACCTGCCTGTAGCCTGTGAGCTGTCTGTTGCATATCTCTCACCACCTGCCTGTAGCCTGTGAGCTGTCTGTTGCATATCTCTCACCCTGCCCTGCCTGTAGCCTGTGAGCTGTCTGTTGCATATCTCTCACCACCTACCTGTAGCCTGTGAGCTGTCTGTTGCATATCTCTCACCACCTGCCTGTAGCCTGTGAGCTGTCTGTTGCATATCTCTCACCACCTGCCTGTAGCCCTTGAGTGGTCTGCTGCATATCTCTCACCTGCCTAAAAACAAGACAATTATCTGCAAATGTCAATATCTGCCCTACACCAGGTGCTTCTTCTCCGATCTTGCTCGTATAAAAAAAAAGAGCACTGGTGAAATTGCAGATCCCTGTGGTAATATGGAGGTGATATTGTATAGATAAAACACAACAGCCAAAAAATGCTGGGGTTGGTTCTGTAAAGGATACGCAACTAACTTTTAGCATGACCAGGAAACATCTGGCCTCAAATGATCACTGAACCCATATCATAGGAACACAGTGCTCTTTTAACCACAGGTTTGTTCACAGTATGATTACAGTGATGCTTATCTATAACATTGTCAGAATAATACAGCTCTGCACCAGCTATGTATTCTACAAACTTGTGCATCATGTGATTGCAGTTTTGCTTTCCCATACCAGTGTCAGAACAATGCTGCTCTATGGACAGCTCTCTTTATTCCACAGACTTGTCAGTCCACAAAGTGATTCCAATCATGTTTCTCCATACTGTTCGAACTGTTCACTAACAATTTGCCTCATGTGAGATCAAGTGACTATACATGACACCTTGTCTCAGAAAACAAAACCCAGTGAAATCAAGTCAGTTCCCGGTGTGAGTTCTGGAGCCCCATCGTGAGGAAACCAAGAACAGACCTACTGTCTCCTCAACAAGCATCCTGACTGTAGCAGTCGACTAACTGGGCTGTTTCCTTGGAAGTCAACAGTGCATCTGCCTGAGAAACAAGGAACCAAGTCTGCATGCACGTCAGCTAGATCTGTATAACTGATGTACATGCAACAATCACATTCTGAAACAAGACTAAAGTCTAAAGGTGGACAATCACAACTTTCCACCAGAGTTTACAGCCAGTGAGTGCGAAGAAGTGATGGTGTGACAACATATGACATTGTGTACCAAGACATGACATTAGTGAGACCATATTAGTGAGCACATTTAGCATCTTGTCACAAAATGACATACACAGACCAAGTTGGTGATGTTACTTGTATACCCACCCTCTTCCTGGAGACATGACAGAGAATCTTTAGAGACATCAAAGGCTATCACTGGGTAGCCCTTTTTCAGCAGATTTCTAGCCATGTGACCTCCCATGTTTCCTAAGCCAATAAACCCAATAGGGAGCTGGCCAGCCTGCAAGAATAAAAGCAGCTGGTTGACACTGACCAGAGTTGCCAGATTACAAACAATTGGTTAACATTAACAGCTGCAAGATTGCAAACAACTAGTTAACATTAACAGCTGCTAGAATACAAGCAAATGGTTAATGCTGACTAACAGCTGTAAGAATACAAGAAACCTGTTAATAATGACTAGAAGCTGCAAGAATACAAGCTACTGGTTAACACTGACTTACAGCTGTTGAGTCAAGAATTGACATCATAGCACTTGGGACATTCCCAGGTGCGCTGTGTCATCTTTAACAGCCAGTGCAGAGTTCCAACTAGGGCTGTACCGAATATTCGCTTCGTGGCCGAATAGTGGACCTATTGACTATTCGGTATTCGGCCAAATAGTTGCGGTCGGGCCGAATACAAATAGTAGTTACCTTACACCTGCTTCTGTATACACGGCCCTAATACTGACAACATGGAATGATTGGTTTTGTTGAAAGCTAATGCAACTTTCATGCTGTCAGTGACAATTTACAAGTTTAGTTACTTGTTATAATGCTTAGGATTCTTTCATTCCTAGTTATTAGTTACCACAGACTGACTGAAGGATGCAAAACATAAAATGTTTTTAAATTTTTACTATTCTGTACAAATACTAACTAGACATAGAAAGAATATAAACTCCGGCCACATCCAAGTTAATAATATGAAAATCAAACGAACGGAAACATATAAGTACTTGGGTGCAAACTTCAACTGCTCCAGCATGCCGAGGGAGAAGACAATCTAGAATAGAATCTAGAAATAAAGTATACTATGTCCTTCAACATCTGCTAAAGTCAAAGTGTCTGCCTCGCAACACCAAGATCAAAATATATAAAACGTTGATAAGACCAGTCGTTCTATATGGCTCTGAAACTGGAAGCAGAAATAAAAAAGATTAGGCCTTATTACAGGTTTTTAAAAACAGACTTACGACAAATCTTTGGATCCATCAAAGATGCTAACAGCGGGGAATGGAGAGTGAGAAGCAACAACGCAACACATAATCTGTTTAAATCACCATTGATCACTGGCATCATGAGAGCTAACAGACTGAAATGGTTGGGGCATATTGAAAGAATGTCAGAAGACAGAGAAGTAAAACTGTATACACCTGAGAGAGACATGGGCGTAGACCACGAGGCAGACAAAAAAGAAGTTCGAGAGATAATGTCCAGCCAGGCCTGCAAACAACTGGTGTCACAAATTGTGAAGAGAAGGCCAGTCAGAGAGATGAATGGAGAGGAGTGATATCTGCAGCAGTAAACCTCAGGGGCTCAGAATGCTGAAGAAGAAGAAGACTATTCTGTGTTACTTTATGTGAAGCAAAAGTTCAGCGTACATTTGACATTATGAATGTGTTTTTTTTTTTTGACAATACACTATTCCTATTCGTATTTGGCCGAATAGTTGGTCCCGTAATTTGTATTCGGCCGAATAGTGAAAATCACTCTTGGGTACAGCCCTAACCTAGTTCCAACAGTAATGGTACCGGTCACAATCTGGTTATATGTCCGTGTTGCCTTTCCTCTGAGCCTAGTGAGCTGGCCAGACAGTCTGGTTACTATCAGGTGCATCATTCTCTCCAGGCCATAATCTTGTTTCTCTCCTAACTTCGTTACTTGTTCCCAGAGGGCCTTGACCACATCTGCTTTATCACATATCAATTCACCACCCAATGGTGCAGATCCAGCCAATTTTTCTGCCTGTTCATTCCCCACCACGCTGGCATGGCCTTGAGAAAAGATCCAAAGTATGCTACCCGTGACGTTTCCAATAAAGCTCTGCTCGAAGCATCCCTGTCTTCACCTTTCTAAGCATGCTTTCAGAGTTTTTTACAATTACATTTTGTGTATGCATCTTGCTCTCTGACTATCAGAAAGCTGCAGTGATCGCCTCCACCTCGATTCTCATGCTAGATGTTGTTGGTATCTTATGCTAGGCTGTCCTGCAATAAAGATATTTAATTAGCTTTCGCTAGAAACCCCAGTCAATTCTCTTCCCTCTCAACACAGAACCATCTGTATAGATGATCAGATCATCTGGGTGAGAAATGTGTTGAATCAACTGTTGGACTTCCACCTCCACATCATCCGCTGACCACTCTCTGCACTAACAGCTGTGAGAATTTAAGCTATTGGTTAATACTGACTAAAAGCTACAAGAAAAAAAGCTACTGATTAACACTAACAGCTGCAACTGGTTAACATTAACAGCTGCTAGAATACAAACAACTGTTTAATGCTGACTTAACAGCTGCTAGAATACAAGCAAATGGTTAATGCTGACTAACAGCTGCAAGAATAGGAACAACTGGTTAACAGCTGCAAAAATACAGGTTACTGGTTAAAATTGACTAAAAGCTGCAAGAAAACAAGCTACTGGTTAACACTGAATATTAGCTGCAAGAATAAAAGTTACTAGTTAACACTGACTAACATCTGCATGAATACAAGCTACTGGTTAACACTGAATATCAGCTGCAAGAATACAAGCTACTGGATAATGCTGACTAACAGCTGCAAGAATACTAGCAGATTGTAAAAAATGATTACATGGCAGTCCTCGATGCGATAGTATCTGGGTTAAACACAAACCAACCAACACGACCTAGGACATGGGAAAGTCAGTTGGTGGTCGAAAGAAACGGCCAAAGAGCGTAGAGACATGGTAATACAGCAGATAAGAGGCACTGTAGTTGAGACGCGGGTCCAAAAAAGCTGCGCAGCAGTCGCAGCAAGGCCAGTGAATCGGCCTCGAAAGCACCTTGCCACTAATACTCCATGGGGTGAGATCTGGCGAATGGCACCACTGTGGCTGAGCTTTGTGGTAAGATCTGCGTATGATGTGTTACTGTCTGGCGTCAACATGGCAAAATGGCAGGCGGCTACCGACCCGACATGCCCACTATGCAGAGCTTAGTAGATGCTTGAGCACATATTGTTCACGTGCAGAAAAGCCCTAGGCCGGGGACGATATACTTGGCGTCACAATAGTCATGAAAGAGTTAGCGGACGTTGTAGACCAAGCCAGGATGAGGACCAACATGAAGGCCAGTCCTAAAGTCAATACTTGACTGTGCGAAGGACTGGTTACTGGCTGTCGACCTGCCTGGTTTTGAAAGGTATCCAGAGTCAATCCGGAAGACCGGTCTGAGACCTGACATAGTCCAGCATCATCATCATCATATAGCAGGTCTTTTGCAGAATGTAGCTCTCATCACAGTCTGCCTGAAAGAAACTTGGTCTCTCGCCAGCTATCCCGTGTCATGTACTTTCATACTCAAGGAGTCACTGTGCCCAATATCCTGTGAACATCTTGGTGTTGGTCAGCCCCTGCCCCTCCTTTCTGGTACCAAGCCTTCTGCTATTATTTTTTCCAATCCATTGTGGCGCTTGATATGACCAAAATATTCATCTTCCGAGACAGGATGCTGTTTATTAGCCAATCTTTCCTGATGTTCCGATCTTTCAAGATGTCAGTATTTCTCCTCTTCTCTGTCCAAGAGAATCCTTCTATAGCATTTCAGCTCAAAAGCCTCTATTCTCTTTCTGAGGGACTAGGAGACAGTCCACGACTCACATCCGTATGTTACCAAAGGGAAGATGCATGCTCTCAAAATTCTAATTTTGATCTCAAATCTGGTTTAACCACAGACTTTTAAAGCTGTTCAATCTTTGCATTGCTATGGCCATCCTCCATTTAATTTCTGTCAAACAGTCTCCATTGCTATTCATTATATTCAAAGAGCCCAGATATTCAATTTATTGTTTGTGACCCAGTTTTCAATTATCTTTATTTATTTAGATTTTGTTTTTATTTTTTGGTGACAGCCAATTTTTATCCATGTGGACATTATTTTCGTTTTCTTTAAATTCAAGAAAGAGATTTGATGCATTTTTACTGGGTACTTGTGTGAAAACAAGCACAATATTAAATTTTCTATTCCCTTTACACTGTTCGAAAGGAGGACTGGTGTCATCTGCGTAGCGAAGTTCCGCTGAATAGGGAGGTCTTGCCACCCCAAGAATTTGAGTGGATCATAAATGTCACAAGTCTGGTCATTTTTGACATTTCTCATTATATTTTCTGCGTATATATTGAATAGGTATGGTGAGAGAATGCACCCCTGCCTCACCCCCTTGTGCACCTCGCACAAATCCGATGTTCCACCAGCTGCTCTGATGGCTGTTTGTTGTTCATGATCAAGATGTTTAATTAAATGCCCTAAATGCACTGGAAACCCCATAGTTCTCATGACAGTCCAGTTTCTGATGTTGGACACAATCATAGTCCTGCACTCTGTGGAAAAATGCCAGCTTATCCTGATTGATTTGAGCGTGCCATACGAGTCGGGGATGGAAGAAAATCACATGTACAAGCTCGAGAAGTACTGTGAGCTTGTGGTCAGTCTAAGGAGAGACGAGGCGTACGCAGTAAAAATCTTTGCCGTCAAGATAGGCGCAAGAGGTCTTGTCTTCACTTACATGTACAATATGCTAAAGCAGCTGGGCTTGCGAGAAAGAGCGTAAATGGTCACTAAAGCAACTGGCCGAAGCTGCTGAAAGAGCTTTGAGCTGGCTCTGGATGGAACTGAACGTCGTTAGGGGATGGGACTTGGTAGACTGGTCCGAGTCTCTGGTGGAAAAGCACTTCCTATCCCTTAAAAGCCAAACTGTCTGATAAATGTCTGCCGGTATCTCTCCCAAATGCGAAAATCTAACAACAGTTCGATGAACCAACCATAAACTTGTCATTCTGGTTGTGAAGGTAGTCAACTGATCTAATCTGCTAACGCAGCGACAATATAACACCAAATCTCATAGCACCTGTTGAAAGTCACCATACTGTCTTGTCCCTATCGAGTCCGATGAAGTGCAGCAGGGAAAGATCGGGGCCTGACTTCATGACCCAGGTCAGCTCACCTTCGGAGATTATTTAGGGAATCAATGGGCTGGAAACAATCAG